ACGAAATAATATATTTTTTAATAAATAAAGTATATAAAAAACATCTTTCATTAAACGAGATCTATCACGACAGTAAGAACATTCAGTCATTCATAGAATGATAGGACTCAGGAACGCCAAGTAAAAACTTTTCTTTTACGTGTTCAACGTAACCGCTCTTCTGGAGTGCAAGAAAAGTGGATCGTTCAGGACCCGAGCTTACGCGCAAGAAGTAGAACACTCATACATATGAACGTGAAATGTTGGGGGTATATTTTTAAATAGTGATCTCGAAAATTTATGTATTTATATAAACTTTCAAACTAATAGACAGACAAAAATACAGCAGCAAATGTAACATAAAACTCTTTAAGGCTTTTCTTTTTTAAAAGAGGGCTTGAAAATGCTTAACGCGCTACCCCTCACCGAGTAATCTGGCTATTTCGTTTTTCTCTTTATCTATCTACCACATTGACAGTGTCATACACTGCCATAAAATGCGTGAAATATGATAACCTTCAACGTGGAAGATTTTCGAAGAAGATGTCTTGAGTTGTACAATGTTACTTCCAAGGTTTTTTAATCATAGTTGGGTATTGTCGGAAATGATCATTTTGTTATCAGCAATGTAATGCAATGAAATAACTCAGCCTGGGTATTGTAGATAGCTCCAAATGGAAAGTTGAGTACTTATTTAAGTTTTTCAAACAGGATTCATTTTCTGCTCGAGTTGTTTTATGTCATATTGTAAATAACGCGAGTGTTATGTAACAGAGTTATTGATTAATGGCATGCTACTCGTGTAAATATTCGGTGGTTTATGTATGCGAGAATGGAAAGATGTTGTTACGCCTCCGTTCGTTAGTTAATTTTCCGTAAAAATTCTTTCCGAAGAAACTTTAGCGATACAAGTCCATTCTTAAATAAAACTGGTTTATGCTTTCTGAATACAACTTTGCAATACACTTAATTTCCACAGTCACGCTCTAACAAAATTCACAAGAACGTCTCACGTGCTCGACTCAACTGTCAATTACACACATTGTTGCCGTCACTTCTTGGCGGCTTATATATATATATATACAATACTACCGCATATCTAGTAGCCTCTCGAGACTTCAGGAAGGGACGTGAACGTTCAAGAATATGACGCGTTACTAGCATCACGTGACTCCCGCTGTCGTAACAGTATTTTGGCAAACACTCTGTTGCTTCTCATAAGCTAAGCCTACGTGCGTGTTCTAATTAAACAAGTAAACCATGGGCCACTACCAGCAGTACTAAAGCTGAATCGAGGACGCCCTGAATTACCTTCGTTCCACTCTCACTTACACGGCACTGTCTTTCCACGTTTGCATCGCGCGCGTGCGTAGAATTATATTACCTTCTCGCCAGTTCGAGGACACTTTATTCATTCTAAAAATGGATCTCAGTAAATAATTCTGGACTCCTTAGTTGCTGCTTATCCTCGCAATCAAGACAGGTTAGTAGTTGCTAAGCTGACGCTCATTTTAAACCAACAGAAGTCGACGCTTATCACCGTAAATTTATTCTAAGTTTTGTAATATCCTGATTTACTTACACTAATGAACCAGAATTTATACATAATAATAATTCTAGAATGAGTTGAGAGTTGGAGCTAAATGTGAGCAACAACTAAACAGATAACTTGGGCCTTCCGCTTATAATTTTGTGAATATTCTCACGTGCTTACATACACATGCGTAGTAACATAAGTATTATCTTCCTAGTTAAAGAAAGCGTTCGTGTTTACAAACCACAATTGTTTTTTATCGATACAGTTGAGGACCGTTTTGATGTAATTTCCTAACGATGACCACGAATTTAAGATTTGTCCTATTTCTTATTTACATTTAGTGGCTGTTTTATATTTTAATTTGGAGCTTTGTTTAGTTTGTGTTCTTCAGTATGTTCACTTTTGTCTAGTTTGTGTTCTTTAGTATGTTCAATGTTACCCAAATATAAAGGATTGAAATGGTTTAATGTATGACACACACTAAAACTTAAATATCTTCTTTAATTCGGTACAAGTTCTTAAAATGATTTATAACACATTAAAAAGTTGTTATGATCGTCATTGTGATTATAGAAGTTTGTGTGAAAGAATTATTTTGAAAGAGTATTATGTATAACATTTGTAATGGTATGAACATCTAATCTAAAATGATGAAGCATTATTATAATTGCCCCACCCCCCCATTGGCACATCGGTATGTCTAACGTTAGAATCCGGGTTTCGATACCCGTGGTGGGCAGCGTACAGATAGTCCATTGTGTAGCTTTGTGCATAATTACAAACAATTAATTATATTTGTTGTAGGTCTATTATACTTTGTAACACTACAGTCTTTACTCAATCCCTTCCAGGTGTTCATGATACATTAACAATTGTTTGTGTAACAAGTGACTTATGTAAATAGCATTCCGACCACTACTGTGTTTGTTGTGTCCCAGTTAGCCGCCTGGTGAGCTATGTATTGAGCGAAACGAATGTGGTAGACATAGTGTAGTTGAAATACTATTATACACTTTTTTCACTTTTTTTTTTCTTGAAAAAACTAACGGACTGTATAAAGTATATAGGGTTAGAAATATAATAGGTCTAATATTAATGTCTTATGATAATTATAATTAAGTATTATACAAAATTTGTTCATAAAATGTGGCCCAGAGATATAGCATTGGATAAGGCAAATAATGGAATTCAGGCACACACACACACACACACACACACACAGTCGGTCGTTATTTATCTCAGTCTTTAACACTTTATTTACCAGTATTGATGCATTACGTATCCACAGTTTTTACATGAATTGTGTTCAATATTTTACTAAATAATTTTTAAAATGATTACATAAGGTACAGAAATCATGTTGACTATACACTCGTATCTGGTATGGTAGCAATAGGCGGGTTGCTACAGTATATATACAGAAGATTGTGTATGTTACACCAAAACGATTTTGAATATGTAACTCAGCAAGTCACATGATAACCGTAACCAATATCAATGCGGTGGAGTAGAATGTATCATAACTACATTTTGACATTATTTGGCTCTTGTAGTTATTGTGATGTCACCGAAAATTTATCGCTTTTGGAAAGGAGATGTAACCAACTTTTCCGACGCAAAATATTCATACGCAACTCATAAAGATGTGTTCATATCGGGGCTCTATAATTTTAAAGACGAGAATATATCCCTTGTATTTAATGGCCTTGGAAAACAAAGGGATATGGATCAACTGGAGGCACCAGGACCATCAAGAAAAAATCTGAAACAAGTTGTACCCCAGCCATGGAAAACAAAGTGTGGTGTCCTATAAAAGGTGAGAATCCAAGAACACAAAGGTCAGTGGTAAAAAATCGCCCATGTGCAATAGTACGCAACATAATCAAAAAAGATCTGCACCTGTAAACGAGGACAACAAGATACGGATTCACAAAGACAAGGCTTCCAATTAATATTTCCCGTTCAACCATTTAAACTCCAAACAACTGGGGCCCGGCATGGCCAGGTGGTTAAGGCACTCGACTCGCAATCTGAGGGTCGCGGGTTCGAATCCCCGTCCCACCAAACATGCTCGCCCTTTCAGCCGTGGGGGCGTTATAATGTGACGGTCAATCCCACTATTCATTGGTAAAAAAGAAGCTCAAGAGTTGGCGGTGGGTGGTGATGACTAGCTGCCTTACCTCTAGTCTTACACTGCTAAATTAGGGACGGCTAGTGCAGATAGCCCCTCGTGCAGCTTTGCGCGAAATCCATAACAAACAAACAAACCATGACGAAATACTGCTGTAAGTTTGTTGGTATGGCAATAAAAGCACATTACGTGACATTAATTGCACCAGTAAATTTATTGCTTTTTAAATAATCCCTCGTAAAATACTCCAAAGCGGCTTTCAGTTTATTTTTCCCTGACAAAGGCGAAGGATTTATGTTCATCAGCTGGAAGTTTTAACCGCCGTGAACATCTGTTACAGTTTTTGTCGATGGAAAACTAAGATTTTAAAAACATTATTAAATTTTCCGAAAACTACCTACCCATGATTTTAAATTACTGTCACTGGTGTTGGTGTTCGAATTCTCATTTACGCTATAATTTCAGTTTGTTTGTTTTGTTGTTAAAAGCAAAGCTGCACATTGGACTGTCTGTGCTGTGCTCGCCATGGGTATCGAAACCTGTTTGTTAGCGTTATAGGCTTTCAGAATTACCGCCTAGCAATTGGGGAGGGGAAGGGGAGGCTAGGATTTCAGTGAAATTAAAATGTTTTCAGCAGTTTTATAGCAACGATTAGAAATACTTAACAAACTTCAAAATGTTTTCAAAAACATTAGAAAAATACATGTTTTATACTATAATGTAACTTTATCTTTACATATTCCCCCCCCAAATGTCTGTTTTTGAACTAATATATGAAACTATTTCATTTATTTATCATAAAGACAAAAGTATTTTTCGATATGAACTGTTTTTTTTCCTAATATTCTTCCAAACTGTAAAATAAATCTATGCCATGTTTCTAACCAACTATAATATAACAAGTAGTTTTCCCTTTAAGTTTAGTTGCGCTTACACATTCTCTGTTTGTGTGTCTATGTGACAATAAATCGTAATCACAAATATATTTAGCTTTTTACGAGTAATACACCAGTTATAATCTCCGAGGCATGTGTATGTTCGAAAATACTAATAATTATATGTTACTCCAGTTACACAAAACTTTACCCTGCCACTACAAGACATTTCCATATACGTTAACTAGACTTTATATTCATATATTAATTTGAGATAATTAATGTTAGTAATATTCTAATTATTACAATTAATAAAACAACTGCTGATCTGTGATTTTATAATTTCCTGAAACCCCAAATGTCGAGCTAAATTAAAGAGAAAGTTGAGTCTACCCAGACATTTAAGAAAAAAAAGAAAAGAATGATATTTCTTTTTGTAAATATGGAGAGGGTTAGGGACAAAAAATACTACAGATACCTTTAGTTCCTTCAATAGTACGTCGCATCTTTCGGTTTGGCTGAGCAGCTTCTGGTGACGAAGCATGGTTCTCTAAGTGAAAAATAACTTGTTATTTCAACCACTCACACACATGTTCTGACAAACGTAATAAAGCACATGTTATAGGCCTTTCTCTTAAACCATAATACCCGAAAATAAGTTTCTATCACAGTATAAAATTCACACTCAACACAGACACTCCTACCTCAAATAATTAAAACAGGAAAAGTCTATACAATACTGTAACAATGGATCTTATCTTTTCTGGACAGTTTATGTGTGTAATATGTTTACAATACATATTATACCTTCCTATAAATTACAGTTAAAGTTCAAATTCAAATTTTTGATTTTTTTTTTTATAATTTCCTTGGGAGTCAAGACCATTATTAATCACGTGCAAACACTATTCTGGATGTGTAGCTTCTATAGCTGGTGTCAGTCTAGACTGTCTCTATTACGTGGGACTTTAAATTGATGACAACCAAATCAACCTGACTGTGATTGGCTCAACTTTTCAACTATTGGAGACGACTCCTGTTTTTGAGCTGAGACACACATACTTTAGAGAGTGCACACTGACCTAGTGTCTCCTTTTTCTTCCTCTGTTCTCGTAGTCGATCGTGCAGTGTATTCCTTAAGTTTCATTTCTTTTTTAATTTTTAGTTGTTACTTTTTCTGTTACATTTAAAGTACTGTATCATTCATTTCTAAAATTTCCGCTAATTATTTAAGTGAGTTGTATTTTATTTTGTATATAAAATTTCCGCTAATTATTTAAGTGAGTTGTATATTATTTTGTATATAAAATTTCCGCTAATTATTTAAGTGAGTTGTATTTATTTTTTATATAAAATTTCCGCTAATTATTTATGTGAGTTGTATTTTATTTTTTATATAAAATTTCCGCTAATTATTTAAGTGAGTTGTATTTTATTTTGTATATAAAATTTCCACTAATTATTTAAGTGAGTTGTATCTGTTTTTTATATAAAATTTTCACTAATTATTTATGTGTTGTATTTTATTTTGTATATAAAATTTCCGCTAATTATTTAAGTGAGTTGTATTTTATTTTTTATATAAAATTTCCACTAATTATTTAAGTGAGTTGTATTTTATTTTGTATATAAAATTTCCGCTAATTATTCAAGTGAGTTGTATTTATTTTTTATATAAAATTTCCGCTAATTATTTATGTGAGTTGTATTTTATTTTTTATATAAAATTTCCGCTAATTATTTATGTGAGTTGTATTTTATTTTGTATATAAAATATCCGCTAATTATTTAAGTGAGTTGTGTTTTATTTTGTATATAAAATTCCCGCTAATTATTTAAGTGAGTTGTATTTTATTTTGCTTCACTATTCATTTTAATTATTTTGTGAGGTGTAGACGAATAAAAATGCAATGACTTTTGAACATTACTCAGAGTAAGTAAAATATTTTCATATTTGTTCTTGATTTCTTTTTAATTTTAAAACAAATTATTTAGATATTACAGTGTTCATAACGCTAAAAGTCGAGTTCCGATACCACTGGTGGACAAAGCAGCACAGATAGACTATTGTGTAGGTTTGTGCTTAGCACTTAGTTACTGCGTATGTTATACATACATAAAACGTTAACCTAATTTTTATTTTTCTTACGGAAATTATTATTAATTAGTAGAAGTAATTATGTATACGAAATATGCCAAAATCAATATATATATATATGTTTACAGAATAATGTATATACAAAGAATAATAATATTGCTAATTGTACTTGTCATAAGACATTAGTATTAGGACTATTGTAATTTTTGTATTTTGTTTGTTTGTTGTTTCGCATAAAGCTACATAATAGAATATCTATGCTATGCCCACCCCGGGAATCGAAACCCGGTTTCTAGCGATGTGAGCCCTTAGACTTTCTACTGAGCCACTGTTGGGCTTAATATTGCATTCTTTAGTCCCTTAGGGATTTTCTATACTTAGTTAATTTTGATCATGCTTCGCCAGCTTTGAAAGGCCTTCACACCGTAACAAGAATGTTATTCTGTATGTTAACTTTGTTAACTCACATATAGCTTTGCTTACATGTAGAATTTACCAGTTACCACGTTGTCATGGTGTGATGCAATTACCTTTATCTCAGCTTTGAGAAGCCATAGGCTAGAGATCTAATTACACAATGAAAGATATTTTCTGTTTCTTTTAAATTTATAAGACAATTTAGTTTCCAGTTCAACTAAGACTCGGGTAGAGATTGGAATACTTAACTTGGTGATATTTTGCTAGCAGAAAAGTAGTTTGTAAAATCATTAAATTACACTTTATGATGTTTCTATTGCACCACATCTAAGGGTGAACTCCTGCACCTCTGAGAAAAAGTGAACATTTTACCCTTACAGGAGTTTTCCTTTTAAGGCTGATCTTCGCCTTTATGTTTTCTTCTTAGACAGTCGTACGATAGGTACAATATTTTATGTGCATACTATCATTTTCCCATGTCTATTAAACACACTCAAATGATTTATTGCATTTGATAATATAAATGCACGTACACTTACCTTCCAAAAGAGAGAATGTAGCCATTGATCTCGTACATAAGTATTGCTGACCTTAAAGAAAATTAACAATATTAACACACACACGCGCATATTTATATAGACTATAAGTAATAATGCATTACAACAATCTAACTGTTGAAGATAATACTGTAAGATAAAAATGGTATATTATACTTCCTTCCTTTTCTGGTTCTAAACATTAACGTAACTTATTTTAATACATATATATATATATATCCCGAAACGATGTTAAAATATATAAATTTTCAAAACGTTCAAAGTGTAACTGCTACTATAGTTGTAAAAGGCACTTAAACGGAATATAATGACACTTAGCTCCTCAAGGTCACTATGGTTACGTAAACAGAAACTTACTGACTGTTGTTGTAAATGATGTAAACTCTTTAATCTGACCTGATTTCTTCGCCATGTCTAATATGGTATTGGAAATAGTTCAAATTTTAGCCCTATACGATTGCTGTGCTATTAAATGAGTGTTTGTTTTGTGAAGAATGTTTGTTTACAATGGTTTTTATTTGCTCATAGTACTTATTATATAAAACATTACGACAGTTAAAATCATAAATAATATTCAACGTTAAACTAGTACATAATTAATTAAATAAGGATGGTCCCTTATTACTAGCCTCAGTCCCTCAAAGAAGTCCATGGGTTAATTTGAAAGTTCAAAGCTGAGATAGAGAAAGTTTTTACAAAAAATAAAATAGTTTAAGAATTGTTACTTCTTGTTTAGTTCTTAAATTCGTGTGTATATGTGTGTAAGCACACTTACGTTTATCAATTTCTAATGTGTACCTATTGCAGAGCTGGTATTTATGTATTAAAATATCAGTATTAAGTATGTTTATAAGAATGGATATATTAATGATAAAACTATATTTAATTTTTTCTATTAAGTTTATGAAACATAAATCCGCGTTCTTATATAGATAAATGTAAAGCTATCCTCATTCCAAAATATCCTGCACCATGCACGGCTCTACCAATTTATATTATGTTAGCCCTACTCGAGTTTTTCACACTAAACAAGAACAATTTCCTACCCGCAGCACCACAGAACCACTTGGAATCACGATTCGGATACATATCTTCTGTGAAGACGCCCGGATAGGGAGACAATGGATTTCTTCAATCTGAGAATAGGGAATGGGTTCTTCCATGAAACCAGTGGACTGTGAAAAATATAGCAAAGCCGTGTAGTATTAAAAGCTGCAGTTTACATAGGAACGTTGAAAAAACTGTTTACGTAAGAACGGATAATTATATTTAAGTAATAGCTGAGGATTTAATTATTTATACAAAAAAGTATATAAGTAATAAGAATCAAGGAATGGTTTTAATTAATTATGGAGAACTGTTTACTCAAGAAAGTAAAGACTATATACTGATCAAATAAATATTAATTTTATTTAAGCTACAACAGAGAATAATGTTTACATAAATACATTCTTAGATGATAACATAGAGTAGGCGCAGAGAATACATTTCATAATTCACAGGGGTAATTTCAATATTTGTAAATTCATAATATTATTTTAAGATAAATATAAATATAGGTAGATTACTTTTACATATCGAAGTCTGCATCAGCATGGCGTTTCTTCACGATTACCTCACATTACACCGCTTGTGTATTGGATAAAAACAAACACATGGTTGCACGTTGGACGATGTCGTTAGTAGAAAAGTTAAGAGAATGCCTTGCGTGACTTAACACGTGTATTTGCAAACTGTATAAACTGATCTGTTGTATATATTGTGCACTCGGCGGTTGTATAACCTTCATAACCGAATTCTTTATTTAACTGTCTAATAAATATATCGTACGGAAATAATTATATAACTTATTTTAGTCCAACTGCTCCTGTGTGCTCTAAATACAACATGAAAAGGAAAAGAAAAAAACAACAACAGATAGTGGAATATACGAAACAAAATAATGCCGCTTTTTGGACCATGCAATGGCTCCTTTTAACTCCTTTGATTTTACCGACTTTGTATATAGAACATGCTTCAAGTACTTTATTTTATTTTTTTCACTTCTTAGCACTTAGATAATTAAAATTTAATTCTGATAAGAACTAAGTTTGATATTTTTTTAATTTGAAAGGGGACATTTAAAATATTTCAGAGAAGTCGAAGTATACAATGTGGAAGAGCACACTCATGTAACTGACAGATTAAAAAAAAAGAGCTTTGAAATTTTTTAAGGCTACTGAAAATGTTAACAATTTTCAGTTTCATCTGCTTAAAGCTGAATCGGCAAAATCCTTATTCACTTCCAAACAATAGACGAGTAATAAGAAAAACTAGCTGAAGTTACAAATAAACTCTTTCTTTTAAATATATTTTCCCACTGTTATAAAACTATTACAAAAACATATTTTTTACAGCTACAACATAACTCTGTTAAACTAGTACAAACAAAAGTCTTTCCAACCGCATGCTATTATTGTACTTTGCATGGTATACGACGCATTGTACTAATTACAGATAGGGCTAACTGTTGACAAGCCGAGACAATAATATGAATTTAGATTCGTTAAATGACTTCGATGAGATATTCAGTATACACTACATAAAAGGAATATAGTATAATCATGACATGATGCCCTCCCTATAAAAATGTTTGACACAGTTGAAATAATCTTTAATTTCAACCTTCCATAACTAGTTCATAATACACCTGAAGTAAGGTATGTTCACATAAGTTTTCTAAATTTTTTTATAGGTGTTCTTAACCTAGTTAATGACACCCTCGGATGTCGAAAGGTTGCGAGCATGTTCTAATCCTTTTGCTTAGATTGCATTATCACAGGCGGTTTTCTTGTATGATAAGAAATAGCGTTTTGTATAATTTTCAAATAGAGGTAAAGCAACAGCCATATACTTAAAGACATGCTATAAAGCGTGTCAATACAGCAAGCTCACATAATCACTAGGGGAAAAAAAAAACTTGATTTTTTTCAGATAAAATGTATTTATTGAAGTACTAACAGACGGAACATACGATTATTAGAATTTGTACTATACATTTTTCTTGAATGAATTAGTATATTAGTTCTAAGAAACATTGTCCAAAATTGGTAGCATGGTTAAAATAACAGTAATATTTTACGTAATGAACTTTTCAGTGGTTGCAATGCTAATCACATCTTACAGTTACAAAATGTTTCCGTTTTAGTGGTTGCAATGCTAATCACACCTTACAGTTACAAAATGTTTCCGTTTTAGTGGTTGCAATGCTAATCACATCTTACAGTTACAAAATGTTTCCGTTTTAGTGGTTGCAATACTAATCACATCTTACAGTTACAAAATGTTTCCGTTTTAGTGGTTGCAATACTAATCACATCTTACAGTTACAAAATGTTTCCGTGAAGAGATTCTGTGTAAAATTTGCAGAAATGTAGAATGGAAATAATATGGTTTTAACTGTTTATATTTTAGAAAATTAGTACGTCTTTACTCAGGTGAAATTTTTCAAATTTCCAGCAAGGACAGCTGTACTTAGTAATCTTATTGTTAAGTGTGTTGTGCACAGTAGGAGGACATGTATATGTTTTCCCGTGACGTGTGTTTGGTCAGGTTATCGAGCTAGGTTAACACATAGCGGACAAATACGTCGTCTTTGGTTCCGTATCAGATTTCTCTCTCTCTCTCTTCTTCTTCTTTATTTGCCTATTTTCTTTCAGAATTCACCTGGACAACTAGATCACAAAATCTTAAGTCATACATGAAACGCCAATTATATCACTCAGTTTGTGAGACATGAAATCATGGTTCATAATGGCTGAATTGGCAAAGTTGGATCACTTTTAAAATAATAAGTGTGATTAACAAGTTCAAGTAAAACTGATTGAGTTTTTTTTATTCAGTAAAAAGTTATACAGTAGCATTCAGTAAAGCTTTTGCATTTTGTATTTATGACAAAGCTACTAAGATTACCTGTCATCGTCCCTAATTTAGAACTAGGACCTGCATGGCCAAGTGGTTAGGGCGCTCGACTCGCAATCTGAGGGTTGCGGGTTCGAATCCCCGTCCCTTTCAGTCGTGGGGGCGTTATAATGTGACGGTCAATCTCACTAGTAACAAGGGTAGCCCAAGAGTTGGCGGTGGGTGGTGACGACTAGCTGCCTTCCCTTTAGTTTTACACTGCTAAATTAGGGACGGCTAGCGCAGGTAGCCCTCGTGTAGCTTTGCGCGAAATTAAAAAACAAACAAACAAAAAAGATATCCAGTCAACAGAACCCTACCATCCACGTTAAGGGATTGACTGCCACTCTTATAACGTATCCGCAGCTTTAAGTGGGAGAGGGGGATGTTTTGTGGTATCACACGAGTTCTAATCCGTCTCGCAGCAGGTGGTTAGGGAGCTCGACTCGCAATCTGAGGGTCGCAGGTTCGAATCCCTATCCCACCAAACATGCTCACCCTTTCAACCGTGGGGGCGTTATAATGTGACGGTCAAACCCACTATTCGTTGATAAAAAAGAGTGTCCCAAGAGTTGACGGTGGGTGGTGATTATTATCGATCTAATTGCAATATTTTACTGCATTTGTTAACATGAACCCACGTTTAGCCCGCTAAGCCAATATAAGAATGTTTTAATCTAAACGATCCTTATAATTACATAAAATATCGAATCAAACTTAGTTCATACGTACATACACTCGCAGGAAAAATCACAATATATTAACTTTTCATTTTAGGCCAACTGGTGGTCTACTGTGAAATTACAAAACGACATGGTTGCGTCTTGGATATTTAATATCGTCAAGATCGGTTCATTATTAATCACCGTTTTCAGTTATTTTTAAAACTATTTAAGTTCATCAGTTGGGTGTTGAATAGCTTAAAAAAAACTTGAACTATGTAATTTTAGTTTACTAGAGATGTTGAACTTAAAAAAATGCGAATTTTAAATATAAATGCTAACAATTTGAGTCGCATTATTTTCGAACTAACATAAATATACACGTATAAACACATTTCAAAGAAAATAAGAGTAAACAACAGTAGAATAATAAAATATTTTTTGGAATCATTAATAATTTAAGAGTGTTGCGAATCTAGGTTACAAAAACTCTTGGCTTCGGCTCTGCAAGGAGGCTTTCCGCACTTACAAGTCCAGAGTCTGTACGCCGAGTCCTGTGAATCTCCTTTTCACCTCAGACGTTTGCAACGTTCCTTGCTATATGCTACAAAATTTCGATCCTTCCCACAGCATCTCACCTGGGGTTGTGTTCCTTCCTCGGTGGGTTGTGCTCTTTGGGTATAGGTGGTCTACTATTCGTCCTTCGTATCCAGGCACAGCTGACTAAATTGGATCTGTCGTTGGATGATGTTGCTGATTCCGATGTTCAGCTCATCCCGCCATGGCTCATTACCATCCACACTTGGTACCTTTCTTTGAATCTGAAGAGGATGGACACTCGTGATTGGAAGTACAGTCTTCTTTTTACCGAACATCTTTTGTACAGTTCTTCCATAAAATTTCTACATGCTATAATCATTACAGCGATAACATAAAAGTCTCCCAATCAAAATAAACCTTTCTGATACAAAGAGTTAGTAGAGAAACAAACAAATAATTCCGATAAATACATAAAGACATGTTATAAGTAATTCACTTTGTTTAGGCTATTACCCTACGTATACCAGATGTACTTGCGCAGGGTCCCCGAAAGTGTTCTGTTTCAAGAGTAAATAAAACCATAATCAAAAGTAACAAATATTTTTATCTCTTGCTTTTGAAGTTCATATGTGATGCTGTGTTGTAGCCTACATACAGCATAATTTTTCTCGTGATTCATGGCATGCGCACGTTTTACTGACGACACTAAAGTACAAATTGCAAAGTTAAGCGTCCCTTATGTGACGTCATTTTAGTGTTTACTGACTGACTGACAAACAACACATGTCTGTATAATGGGGTGAGTGGTTAAAACAGGTGATCACTCCAGGCGGCCTTGGGCCTCCTTTAGGGTAAATAAAAATACGATGCTCTATTACTCGAGCGCTTTCGAAAGGTGGTACTTTGTACTTTGTTTGTAATCAAGCACAAAGCTACACAATGGGCTATCTGTGCTCTGCCCACCACGAGTATCGAAACCCGGTTTCTAGCGTTGTAAATCCGCAGACATACAGCTGTGCCACTGGAGGGCAACC